CCAGTGCCCTCTCTCAGGGTCTGTCTTCATCCTCCATGCCCCCAGATTTTGGTGCATGGCTGTCCCTGAGGCTGTGCTCCGGAATTAACAGATGAGACAGGCTGTGTCTGCATGTGTCTTCAGTGTGCGGTGGGCGGGAGGGGGGTGCGGGACCTGGACCATGGCAGTGGGAAGAGAGGTGGAAATCTATGGGCTTCAGCTCTGGCTGGCTGTAAGTGAGGTTGAGACTTAGAAAAGTCACTGCCAGGTCTGGGCACGGGGGACCCATGGGTGGTGGCCATGCATACTGAGACAGGGGACACAGGTGGAGGAGCAGGGTTAGGAGCCCAGCAGACAGTGGTCACAGGATCTGAGTTCAGGAGCGAGTGAGTTGTTGGAGCTCCAGATTCGAGAGTCACTGGCTCAACACAGTGGTTGAGGCCATTGGAAGGGGTGGCATCACCCAGAGGGAATGAGCCCACCTAGAAGCAGGCCAGGGGAGACTCTGGAGGACACAGTCAGCAAGCCAGTTCACAGTATTGGGGACCTGAGTACTGAAAAGTCATAACAGCTGGGGCCATGTAGTTTACGGGCAAGCAGTAATAAACTGCACAGTAATGAAACAAAGCCACTGAGCATACCACGTTCCACCCCTAATAGGTTAATATGTCAACATTTTTAGTGCTTAAAATGATAAAGCTTTCAGTTAACCTGAAAATTTCATCTTCTCCCAACTGACTCATTCTCCATGAGTTAAGGATAATAAAGTTCCAATAATAAATCTCCATTGTTCTTATACACCTGAGGTTATTCCAGTAGGAGTGACACCTTCCATTGTTTTGAGCTTTACCTTATCTGACATCACGCCCACCCTGCATGTAGCAGGACTGCGTTTGCTCCCATTTTTCAGAGGAGAAGACTGAGGCCCCAACAGGAATCCTCTGGAAGACAGATCCTCTGGGGCCCGGTGCAAGACTGATTCCACAGCACCAGGACCAAGTCACCACATTGATCTCCTCAGCGAACACTCCAGGGATTGGAAACATTCCAGTGCAGCTGGTCAGACAAGGTTTAGAAATGAACTTCCAACCACTTCCAACCGTCCGTGACCCACAGGGGGTGCTCAGCAAATATTTGCCTGGTGGACAAAAATTTCATCATCTTGAGTCCAGTGTTGCAAGTTCCTGCCTGCAACACAAAGGGTGGTTGGGGCAGGTGCTGGCAAAGGCCTGGTCCCTGCAGCGAGTGGTTAATTATTCTGGAGTTCAGGCTTGCAGGAGGCATGATGGAGCTTGGTGCCCTGGGTCATTCCTGGCATACTCCTGGAAAGTTAAACAGAAGCTCCACGAATCCTAGAAAGGCACGGTTTGATTTACTCTCTCTCACCTCCAGGCAGGTCTCCCCTGAACCTGTCCAGACCCATCAAGGACCTTCCCAGGAGAAAAAAACCCCAGCTCGGATCAGCCCCAGTTTCCTTGCTGGAGGTTGGACTGGGGTAGGGGAAGGAAGCCTAACCAAAACCTCTTGCTTAAATCCCATTGCTCAAGGTTTCCTCAGGAGCTGAGGAAACACTTGTCCATCTTCCATGAGCTTCCTACATGTGTTTCTATTCTCCCCTCGATCCCTGAAATCTGAAAAACCACTGCAGGTGAGATCCACAGGAGAGGCTCGTACCCTGAGAATTCTAACTCCAATTAGACCTCTCTCTAGCTGTGTGCCCTTAGGCAAATCACTCAACTTCTCCGAGCTTATTTCCTCACCTGAGTCTGTTGTAAAATGATCATTTCACAGTACTCCCTTCTCTCTGGAAGGACCCTGGTTTGGAAGCTTTGTGAAGGCAGGAACGTAATTCACATATTCCCTGCTCTCTCTGCCCCCAGTGCTGGAAGTACAGGAGGTAATTCACATGCTAAGTAAAAACCATTAGAAAATAATGGTCATACTTTATGATCACTCTGTGCCTGGCACAACACTAAACAGTTTCTATGGATTTCTTATTTAATCCTCATATTGCTTAAGGAAGGTACTATTATGCCCATTTTAAAGATGAAGAAACTGAAGCCTAGAGAGGCTCAGTAGCATGTCCAAGGTCAGGCAGCCTTGCATGGAGTAGCTGGGACAGGAAGCCAGATCAGAACCTCACGTTTTTGCAGACAAACCCATTTCCTGGAAGAGGCAGAGACATTCCAGGAAGAGAAAACAAGGCTTATCTGAGACCAGCATGAAAGGAAAGGGGTTTCTAAACTGCTAAATTCAGCCTCCAGGGAAGGGGCTTATGATGGCGAGTCAGGGGTCCCCCTCCATGTTGGGGCTCCCAGTCTACACTGTTCCTGACTGCTGTGGTCAACTGTGTTATTTGTCCCTAGAGCAGTGGTACTCAACTGGGGGTAATTTCTGCTCACCAGGGGACATTTAGCCATGTCTGGAGACATTTTTGGTTGCCATCTGTCATTAGGCAGTGCTACTGTCATCTCATGGGTAGAGGCTGGAAATGCTGCTAAGCATCCTACAATGCACAAGACATCTCCCACAACAAAGAATTACCCAGCCCAAATGTCGGTAGTGCTGAGGCTGAGAAACCCCGGTCTAGAAAAATGGGACTCTACAAATGGCTCTTGGGGAGATTCTTGTCTGAATTCCTTTCTTCTGATGTACACATTACTCCCATTTTATAGATGAGGAAACTGAGGCTCAGAGGGCTTGGGATTGACTTTAGAGCTCTTAATTGTAAAACCAAGATTCTGCGCTGTTGGCTCCTCTCTTTCCCTGTGGACTAGGGAAATGACTCGGCATCAGAGGGAAGTTGATAGGGGTGTAGAGTCAGGTGAAAAGGAGAATAAATTCAGAGTCAGATCTGGACTTGGTCCCGAGTCTGTTGCAAATATGCATTGTGTGACTTTGGTGAGTCACTGCCGCTCTCTGGTTTTATTTCCAAAGGAGGGACCAGACAAGGTAACTTCTAGGGTCTTCCCCAATGACTGACATGACACTGCCTCTTTGCTGCTGAAATGGTGTCTGGGAGCTAGAGAGATGGGTGGGGGTGACCCAGGTCCTGACAAGGGGCATTTGGGATCTTCTGACACCTACATCCACCTCTGCACAAAGGATAAATACAGAGGGAAGGCCATGGCCC